CTCTAATGAGCGATCGCCGCGGCTGGGCTCGCGTCTTCGTATTCACAGCGTATATCCGACTGTTAGGGTGTGTTCGAGTGACTAAATCTACTAACCTTTGGCGGGACTGTCCCGTTCTTACGAAATTTAGATTTTTGCTAATATTGTACAATCAGCAAGATAACGGCGAAATAATGGAAATATAAGGTGTAGAAAATATTGCATTTGTTTTTGCTGTATTGTTAACTTTTTTTTTGGATACTATCTCATGTATAATAACAAAATCATAAATAGTAAAATCTACCATTTTTTTTTTCAAAGAATTTTTTCGTTCCGTTATATATTTTTAAATATTTTTAGGCAATGGTGTCCCGGATTTTGTTTATAAAATTTGGCCACCGTAAGTATGTAGCATTGTAATTAACCCCCAGTCTATACTTAGCTTGTGATTCGTACACTCACCGTAGGGCACTTTTAATGAGAGCACAAAGGATTCTGACATTGACTTTACACCCTTTGTGTGTCTGTAGGGGTAAGGGAAAAGTCGTGTTTGTCAATTACGATCCTCGACCGAACAATTTCGAGGGTGAATAAAAAAAGATTATTTGTCTATTTATAAAATGGTTTATTTCATTTTATATTACGTCATTATAATGTTAATGGATCATTCATAATCATTAATTTTTAATGAATATCATGAAAAAAATAATGATACATCAATTATTTAAATGTTTCAATATAAACAATGACATGTGTACAAATTGTATATGTGTGCTTTTATTTCTCATTATACAGCAAATCTCAAACCACAAGTAACGGTACTGTTCCACAAATTCCTAGAACGATCTTATATCATAATAACAAAAGGATCTTACAGCTATAAATTTGTTCTCGAGCTTCCATTTTGTACGCTGCATTTGCAAAGCCAAGCCAGCGCCATCCATTATAATGTAATTAGCTAACACCAAGATGACAGCCACAAGTCCTTATTTCACACAAGAAATGCTCATAAATCTAAACCTTATTTCAAAGGTGTTAGGTTCAAAAAATCGCGTAATGTTTGAATAATGCTTAAGGTGCGTTTTCACTCTCCGAACAACGAAGACGTTAGTTTAATGTGGCGGTATACCTTAACATACATTTAGTTTCTTAGTAAGTACATTATAATAATTTCGCAAATAAAAATAATTATGAATTTAATTTTTGTAGGTAAGTTTATAAAAGAGGTTAAGTCTGACAATATTCGCCGCATGTAAATAGTGGAAGCGTACCTTAGGGCACGTAAATGTTCGTATAATAAAGAGACATTGCAGCCGTGGAATTAAACGGAAATCGAAAGCTGCGGTTTGCGGCAATCGCGGGACGAGACTTCGCGTTGCCAGATGCTTATAGATAGATACCTGCCCGTCTGATGCCATCAATTGATCGATCGAACATTCAGACAGAACGTTTTGTTTTATTCTTTCAAGATATTCTTTTGCACTTTGCCGAATTGATTCCTTTGACTATGGATTTTTTAATTACACTTTTTGAACTACAAAGCGATCTGTTTTGAATATCTAACGAATTTTGTTTGTATCTTTGATGCAATGTTTGCTTTTGTGCATTTAAAATGTATATATAAATGCAATATTATTAGGTACATACGTCATACTTAAGAAATTAAAACATAATATGTGTGAAATGAACTAACCTGTACCGGGTCTGTGTGGTTGACTAAGGTCTAGTCATCCTCAACATGGCGTCGGTTCAGACCGTCGGAGACGTGTATGTTTTGACTACAAAATTGGCAATATTGTATGTATAAATAGTTCTGAAATGATTTTTTTCAGTATATTGTGTGGTTCACAATGTTGTCGTACGTTAAGCTCTGGTTTAAATTGTTTACAGAGATAACGTTGCCTCTGTGAATCCGCACATGAATAAACATTTGAATAATGTAGCAAAACACAAACCGAGCTTATTCGGTTCAGAAATAGAGATAAAAGATTAACATTTACACCGTTTCAATATTGTATACTTTACTATTGTGTTTCTTGAAATGTTAATTGTATTAAGTAAACGTTATATGTTTCTTATCTTACTTAAGTAAGTAAAATTAATTTTATAAATGCGAAAGTTTGGATGGATAGATTGACATTGTTTATAGATAAATAGATTTAAATTGTTTGATGGATGTTTGTTAAATTATGTAGCCTAAACGGCTGACTCGATCTTGATGTTATTTGACGTAGATGAAGAGCTTAGTCTGGAAGAACACATAGATTACTTTCTTTTGTTTTTTTTTTTTTAATCCATACAAAAAGAAACGCGGACAAAAGCTAGTTATTACACAGTTTGTAATTTAAATTTTCTTTCGTTGTAATATTTAAAAAATTGTGTTGAATTTTGTATTCTGGCTTACAAATTGATTTATGCATGTATTTCTTTTTTGTAACTTTATGACACAAAGTAGTTAAATACGCTTTGTTTCATTAATATATTTCCTAAAATCTCAAACAATATATCATTATGGATTTAATTAGATAAATAACATTGAGGTTATGCTAATAAACAAATTGATGATTCGATAATAGACTATTTGAATATCCAATAACTAATATTGGAAAGAACAATATTAGCGGCCGCATAAACCACGCGATGAAAATGGACGTAATATGCAAAATGGCGGCTTAACGTACATTGTTGGATTAGGCGTGCACGCTTCATATGTTCCACGATTACTGTAATATCTTTGGAAGTTTTTGAATTAAGCATACTTTATGGAAATATTAAATATACTTTTTTCTAGTATCGTAACAATTTGAATTTTACAAAAGTATAAAAAAATTATGAAACACACGATTTTATAATGGCGCTACTCGAATGTAATGTGTGATATTATACAAATAGAAACGAGAATGCATATAATATTGCCACAAGAAATTTTTATCTACGAAAGTTTTCTAGCGGTAGTGTCGTAGGACGTTGTAGAGCGTTGTAGGTCGTAGAATCTCGTAGACTTGCGTAGAACTTAAAGAAACTGTTTCATGAATTTTTTAATCACGGTTAGACCGTGACTTTAAAAATTCTACTTTGAAATTTTGAATAAATTTCTACACTTCGTCATCTTATTTATTAGGTAATTTTGTCTATCAACTTTATTAAAATTTAGTAATTACTTAAATAACTGGTTTCCAAGAAATCATTTTATGTTTGAAGGAACTTTTTGTAATTTATTCTATCCTTTATTCAAATTTAATTACATTTCGCATAATTTTGGATTAATTCAATTTATCATATTAGCTCCTTTGAAGATGAATTAAATTATCTTGTTCAGGCAAACTTTTAAGTTGCGCAATGTTTGCTGTACCCGTAATTTATCAGTTTAAGGGTCCATAATTTATTATAGACGTGCAGTCCCCGGTGCTACATCGAAACCTTTCTTATCGGAGCAACAGACCCTTGTAACGGTGTCAAATTTAATTAGATATAGAGCTTTATTGAATTTACATAATTCTGCTATTTACTTCCTTTTTGTTTCTACGATAATTATATTTAAAAAAGGTGCAAAAAGCTTAGCATGTTATGGGTATGTTATGAGGAGGGATGTATCTCATGTAACAAGGACGTTAGTTATGAGAGTGGAGGTACACCGGTAAAGGTAGTCCTGGAAAGAGGTGTATTGCGTGAAAGATGACATGATCCATAAGGGAGTGTTGACTGAGATGAAGGATGATCATCGTCTCTTCACCATCAGATGATGATGTTCAAAAGACTTATATACAAAAAGGTAGAAAAGAATGCATGTAACGAAAAATGTAATTTATTAATTACCGCTTAAGATTTTCATTTTTTCTTGATTTATTAAAAAAAAAACGAAGTATTACACCAGCCGTTATACATTAGTCAAACAGCGACCGGATTCAAACGAACAGGTCGGCTTGGCGTCGCTCCAAAGGGTGTAATGGACCATTTACATCCCTCATATATATAAATAAATTCAGTTGAATAAAGGAAATTGCCCCTCTAATATTGGTTTCTCGCCATTCATAGACGTAAGTGATCTTAAATCAATATAATAGGAATATTGGATACTAAATAGGAATTAAAATGGAATATTAGAAATAATTTCTTCGAGTAAAATGATATTTCATTATTAAAAGAAAAAAAGCTTGACGTTATTAAAATATCAAAGCCCTGATTGATAAGCGAATTCAAACTTCATTCTTAGAATAATAATGACTTATACCAATATTATAAATGCGAAAGTTTAGATGGATGGATGGATGTTTGTTAGAGTTTGTAGCCTAAACGGCTGTACGGATTTCTATGAAATTTGGCAAAGATGTAGAGGATAGTCTAGAACACATAGGCTACTTGCCTTTGTTTTTTTTTTAATTCCTAGCAGACAAAGCCGCGGGCGAAAGCTAGAATTCTAAAAAAATTAACTGGTGAAAATGAATATTGCAATAGATATATTATTAAATTGTTAAAAATACATGTCACATTTTGTAACAATGTATAATGCCAATAGCTTCTCTTTACTGATTCTATCAATTTGTCACAGAATTCAATAGATATTGCGTCCCTTATTGTATCCCAACAAAAGCAACAATATCTTTTATTCTCTTGAGTCCGGTGATTTATCCAAGTTTGTTAGTTTCTACAGAAAGGAACAAGTGGGATTTAATAATTCATAAGAACTGGGCTACGACATATAAAACAAACGTTTCCAGTCTTATGATATTTATATAGAAATATTAACTGACTAATTTTAGCAATTGGAGTAGTTATTACTAAAATTAGTAGTCGCAAATATTTTTACTTGATGTTTTTTTTTACTTGAATAAATAATTTAGTTAACCTTAATGTTTCTTTTGTTTAAATCAGGCGGGAAATATTTACCGCTTGTAGATCAATTCCGACTTCTTATCGTTTAAACTATCTCACATATTTTAATTTGATTAAATTCGTGAAGTCAGTTGTAAGGTTTTATATATATTTTAAAACTGGTAGACTAATTATAAACCTCTTTACAGCAGTGCGCGCGTCGCCCGAACCGCGGCGAATCAACACGCTGTCAGAGCCGCCACACCACGTCGACTTCACGAACGACACAGGCGCCATGCTCAGCTGCAGCATCAAGGGCCAGTATCAAGTATGTATGCAATGTTTCTAAACCAGTAACCTTAAAGGACTCTAGTCCTTTAAGAAGCGAGTTACACTTCCTCAAAGGTCGGCAAAGTATCTGTAGTTCCTATGGTATTGGAGACGCCCTTGGGACCCCTTGATCACTTCATTTTTAGGGGCAAACTGGTGGTAGGAACACTTTCTTATGAAAGTAACCAATACATTACGAAAACAACAATCTTTGTACCTTTTGTTTTAAGGATAAGTTTCATGAAGTATTTACTTAATTAAAGGCGTATAAGATCCGTAAATAAGTCACGTATTCCGTTATCAGTGTTAACACCCAGACAACCGTTGCGATGCAATAACACGCTGAAGAATTTTCATTTGAGCCCCGCTCTTGTCCCAGTGACAATTCATTGTACTGAGTATTGACATTCCACAACTTTTCACTATTCGACAGAACGAGAACTCAATACTTTTGGATACAGTCTACCTTTTACTGTGAATTGAAAAATTGATTTTCTCCTTCTGTGTTTTCCTGTCTTTATATGTCTTGCCCTCCTTTCTATCTACCTTACCGGTTAGTTTCCCATATGGTTATAGAGTCTGCTTTCCTAATTATCTTTATGCTAAGCTTCAATGATATGGCAACCCTAATTTCAAAACTACGTCGATTAATATTGAACAATTTTAGATACTATCGCCAAAAAGAAACCTTTAAACCGAATCCAAGCCTATAACGACAGCAGTATGTCTAACTTACAAAAATTATTCAACAGAGATAATAAAAGTTATAAAACTCGCATATATCCTTAACTTTAAAAAACTTTGGGTAGTTTAAAGAATGAGTTTTAAACTTCGATAAATTAGTTTAAAACATACGTAAACTATATGCAGAAACCTTTAATACTTTAAAATGAAAGCTTTGAAAAACACCTAACTTACATTTAAATGAAAAAGATACCTTAAAAACTTCTTAGACATCGTAAACGTTTTGAACATTATCCGTGCATTTCGAATCTTGCACTTTAAGTGGCTAATTACATTTGCATACAAACGATCCGATCTCGATTGCCATCGCTCTTATTATTTCATTTTATTGAAGGCAGATTTTCGTTTTCTTTTTAATCAACTTGATTTGCATAATGAATTCTAATAAAAGTTCTTATTTAAACTGAAGTTATAAGCTGTTTTGTTTGATTGTTTGAAACGGATAAAACTGATCGATACTTTACTCTACTTTTAAATAATATAATTAATTTAACGAAAATTAAACTTGAATAGAAGATTATTTAGATTTAGACATAGCAAATAATAACATCGGTTAATCCAATGTTCAAAAAAATATCCAGTAAAAATGATCGTTGAAAAAAAATCTTTTTTTAAATAATAATTTCAGAACAGTATAACACTAAAATAACAACTTCAAAATAAACCTAACAAAGACTACGCTAAAATATAATTCTATTAGCAAACTTTATAACAACAAAGAGAAAGATATTTTTCGATATTCTTTTCAAAGGCTAAAAATATAAAAGAAACCTGGTTTAAGTCACTGTACTTGGTTAATTGGATCGTGTGAACGTGGCCCGCTTATTAAATTGTGTAGAGGATTTTCTCGCTAGGATTACCGCCGGAAAGCGTATCAATTTGATTTGAGAATAAACGTGTGAAAATACGTTAACTCTATTAATATTAATAAATAACAAGTCCCTTTTAGTTTACTTTTAAGAAGTAAAATCAATTTCTCCTTTTCCAACAAAACTGATGAACGCTCTGATTTGATACGCGAATAGTTTCTGGTAAGGAAACGTGTACAGTAGGCTTCATAAACAAGTATAACTTTAAAAAACTTTTACAGACCTTCGATTTCAAAAATATAGGCACGAATTCGTAAATAAAAACATTAGTGGTCAAAAGCATATACATGCACACGAGCAGAGATATATTTGAAATCGTATACAAACTATGTCAATTAGTACATATTTCTATAGCTGACTGTACAAAATTTCATCAGTCTTTTGTTTTAAGTAAACAGAAGTGTCATGTTTATATCATTGCTACGTTAACGAACTTCAACTTTTGTATATCCTTCAAAATGCTCAATTTAGTGCGTCTTCACTTGCAACACAATTTTCTCGAAAAAACTAAACATAGCTACACTAACAGTTGTAATAGCTTTGACCCACGACTGTTGGCGTGGAATTAAAAAAAGAAAGTAGCTCATACGTTCCAGACTATTCTATCTATGCCACATTTCATCTGAATCAACACAGCTGTTTAGAAGCTGCTAAAAGTATAGAATGTCGCATTTAATATATTTAGTTAGTAAGAGGTAAATTTGAGCAAAATTGATGGATGTATTGATTTTTACTTGTGTATACTTTAATAAACCACAGGCTCTGTTGCAACAAACAAAGTTACTTCAGAACCTATCTTCAGTTAACTCAATACCCTTTGACTACAACTCAGTTTTCCTTTGAAGTGGTTTTATTGGAATAGAAGCCGCTCAAACTCTATTGCTTTTCAAACTAAATTTAAACAACTCAAAGGTAAAAAGTAATAGAGCGTAAAAATACTGATTTATCAATATTGATATGATTTAATTTTATGTAAATAATTTTGACGACATACGACGTAATTGCGAAAACATAGAACAGAATAATATTTTTGTAAATAAGTGATTACTAGTAACGAGCTTTTGGGCGCGACTTTGTCTGCGTGTAAATAAAAAGTATAGCCTATGTTACTAACGGAGAATGTAGTTTTCTAAGAATTAAAAAATAATTTATAACATTGGTAAGATAAATAAATTATGACGAAACAAAAACCAACCTCTTTAATTCAATACACAGTCTTTAGTTTCTTCATGTCTTCGTTTTTCCTATAAATTACTTACAGCGTAGCTTTAGAGCGGGCGCACACTTTTGACTAAACTATAGCACAACTGTTGTGCGATTGTCAATTGTTTCGCAGCCGCAGCAACGGTTTAGTTGCACAACAAAAAATCGAGTATTGTGCACCTCCATATAAGGTCAGGTAATCAAAGCGCGACTAAACAGTTGTGCGATAAATTAGTCAAATGTGTGCGCACTCTTAAGCTATCTTATCAGACATTTCCATATTCATATTAGCAAGCAAAATTTGATATCTCAAGCGATTTGGACTACAGCCAGGAAATCAGTAAGCGTTATTACGTAAGAGATAGACCAATTAGTTTTGTAATGGTTTTGCAAATTAAAGAACTGCTGCTGAAAAAACCTTCTAAAGATGAAAGGAAAAATTTTAAAAATTCTAATTTGAAAATTTACACTCTGACTTCCCTTTTCATTGTGTTTTTGTTTACTACGAGTTGTCGAATAAACAAAATACTATCAATGAATAAATAAAAGGTAAGATATGAGTCATTAAGATTAACCTTAAAATGTACTCTGATATAAAGCATAACGTTCGAAATTCTCTTAATTTTTAGCCGCTGTTATTTCTAATTTTAATCGCTAATACCTTCAATTAGTGTATCTAAAAATAAGTAAAATTTTTAATGTTTATTATTTTACTAAGCTCAAGGAGGCGAGTAATTCGTTTTATTTAACATTTCCAGTAAGCAGAATAAGTCTGTATTACGAAGCGAGTGGGCGTCGCAAATCCCCGACGCCCGCTCTCAAGCACGAACCGGATCCGCTCGCCACCCGTCCGTTTATTCGATAAATTAAAGAAAATTAACAAGAAATACTGATCCGTGATTTGTTTTAAGATTATCGAATCATCTTTCTCGCCTTATCCCATATAGATTAACCGCATATGGTTTTGTAATTTTGTCTTAATTCGGTTACGCTATGCTAATATTGTTAAAAAGAATATTTTTATTTTTGTTTATGTAACTATATTAAAATAGCCCAAAAAGTACTGGCCCAATAGAAAAAAATCACCGTTAGAAAGGTCTGCCTTTTTGTGAGTAACATAGGCTAATAAATATTCTTTTTCAATACTTTTCAATTTCACGTGGATGAAGTCGCTAGCAACAGCTAGTATATTATATGATCGATTTCCTTATAAACAGATTTCAAAATCACTAAATTAAACGTGTCTTAGACTTAAATAAAACAATAAAAATCACACACAGGTTCAAATATCTCCTTCGTATATTGCGTTTTATATTTTTAGAAAAAAAAAATCAGTAACTGTAAATAACCGAAATAGTAGAGGCCGTTCTCAGCAATAAAGTGCTGAATTTGTTTACTCGTGAGCACTAGTGGCCCAAGTTTTGGCTTATTTTTATTCCCTCTCATCTATTTTAACGTGGTCTGTGTATTGCGAAGTAGGGTTTATCATTTGGGATAAGTCCGGTCGTATTTGAGGGTATTATTACCTTTTGTATATCATGTATTGTTATCTAAGTAAATTATATTTAATAGCTTACTATTATTTTTTTTATAAAATTTACTAAAAAAATAATAACTAACGCCTTTTTGATTTGTAGTATGTCATTTTATTCTATCAAGATTTTGTAAGTGATCTATTTTCTTTTGTGGTTGTAGATTCCAAAAAAACGCTGCTACTTAAGAAAATTCTTAAAACAGATAAAAGGATTGAAGAGTCTTTAAATAGTCAATGTTTAAAACTTTAAAAATATAAAACTTTCGTAAATATATTTAATAAATGATAGTGATAGATTGAAGTGCAAATAAAATAAAGAATGGCAGGCTTTGAAAATATATGCTAACAGTTGAATGTTCTTTTAAAATTGGAACTGAGGACATTCAGAATAAAGAGAAATTTGTATTCCAAGAGACTTTCGACAAGCGAGTGTATGGAAATAGAAAATAATATCTAAGCTATAAGCTCCCACTATTTCCTCGCCGTAAAAGAAATTTTATATCGCTTTAGCATAAATTTAGAAAAATATCCATGTTAAAGGACAGACTGGCGTTTTCTTTTGTTTTATAATTAACTAGCTTTCACCTGCGACTCTGTACGCTTGACACCAAACTACATATATGCACAAATAGCCTATGTGTTCCAGAG